CAAGCCTGATCAAGGCTCTACCACATGTCAGGCATAAGATATAGTTCTTACTCTTGGAAAGAGCCACCAAGTAGAGGGACCAGCAGATGACATAATGGCTATGTCACTGGACTCCCATGTAGTCGACTGAGGTTAGAGTCCTGGACCCAGTGGCTTAAACTCATGCTGGGAATGTGTGCGTGTCCAAGATCCAGAGAAGAGAATGGAGAAAGATTGTGGCATGGCCATTGCCCCTTGGGGGGGGGATTTCTTGCTTTCTGTCTCTCTGGCAAGCACACACGCCCTATAGCAAGCCCCCACCCCCAAAAAAAAGCCACCAAGTAGAAGAGGTGAATGTAATGATGTTCAAGAAAAAGTAGCAAACTATAGGTGAGATAGCAAAAAGACAGCATACAAAGGCACTAGGAAGCCATTTTCCCCTTCCTTCATGTGTCCTGTGAGCAGAAGTCCATCAGAATAACACTTCTGTTCTCTCCCCCACCCTCTTAGGGGTCCTATTGAGGATGAGGGAAGGCAAGGATCAGATATGCAAGTCTGTGCAGACACACAAAACATGGTGGCTTAATCCTTCCCTCCCAGACCCTGTTCTCTGAACTGTCAAATTTACACAGGAAGTACCCACATGAGGGTTACGTTCACTACCGAGGTACACTACTAGCAAAGTCCACCTTATTATCCAACCCAAAGTCAGAAACAAGATGGCCCATGTAGCCCTGTAATAAATATATTTTTATCTCCCATTGTGCCTCCTTTGACTCTGACTCAGTTCGGAATTCAAGTTGGATACAGTCAATTTCCTGGGCCCCCAAATCCAGTGTTAACCACAGCTGCTTCTCTTCTCATTTCCCCTTTTACTCAGCCACTTACTATGTATCCTTACACAATTTAATGATGGGTAGTTTCTTCACCTTACAGGAGATCAACTATTCTATATAACCTGCATATGAAATGACTTATTTGAGGTCATTTAATAAGATGGTTGGTTTGCTTAGGGTGAAAAATTCAGATCCCCTAATTGAGGTATCACTTAGAGCACATAACCCTGCACTCAAAAAAAAATTTTTGTGGGGGGAGAGAAGTGCGAGCATTGGAAATAATCTTTCTGCTATGTAAGCAGCACTATTTCATTCAGAGTTGGAACAGAAACATGTATAATGTCCATCCACCCTATTTTTTTCATTTTATAAAACTTTGGGATGAAGCAAGAAAAAAAGAAGGGAATTGAAGACAAAGGGTAGAAAACTCTTCTCCGGCTTTGGGGGCTCATTAATTTATACCTCATTCATGAAATAATTACTGTGGCCTCTTAAGTGCCAGGCATCCTCCTTGGAATACAGAGAAGACTATAACAGTGTTTCTGATGAACCCACTTTTTTCCTCTGTATAATACTGCAACACATTTCTCATAGAAAACATCACATCGATAGGCACAACATTTACACAGCCTGTCCGTGGAGAATGGATTACTGTGGTTCTTGCATTCACCCACCACTCCATAGCTCCTTCTCCAGTTAAAGATGGATTTGGGGCCAGGAATTGGTGTGGTGGTTAAAAATGCTGGACTCCCACATAGCCAACTGCAATTCAAGTCTCAGATCCAACAGTTTGAGAATTACACCAGGCACATGTGTATGCATGCCCCAAATCCTGAGAGAAGAGAGAACAGATTGTGATATGGCCATCCCCCACTCCCTGGGGGGGAAGGGTGTGATTTCTCACTCTCCCTCTCTCCAGCAATGCGTGCACCCTATGAAAAAAATTTTATGTCAAAATTGTACAAACCCAAAGTAGACCATAAGATATACCCTGTTCTGTGGCTGAAAAGCTACCTCTAATTTGCCCAGTTGTCCATAAGTACAAAACATGGGTCATACTCAGCCTAAAATCATAAATATGATACTTATGATTAAATATTAAATTGAATATAATTAAATATGATCAATATTAAATGTAATCAAATATCCTACTAAATTCAGAGAAGAAAATATAACCCAGGGCAGCCATAACACAACAAAGCACACCTCTTTTTTCATCTAAAACACAAGGCTACAAATTTGGCAAAATGAACAGGCACCCCACCTGTAATTAACACTTTTACAAGTTCAAGTTTCCTTAAGAGGTTACACATTTTAAAGACCTTCTAATTTGTTACTAATGAGACTTACTGGCATCAATGAATGAAAATTCAGGACACAAAACACCTGCCGAATAGTATAGCTAATTTTAAGGAAAGGGATAAGAAGAAATACAAGCAATATTTACTGAGGATCTGGATTCCAGGCACCTCCCATAAATCCTTTCATTCATCAGTGTTTCCAGGAATTAAATAGTAGTGGGCTTGTTTTCTTTCCAGACATGGAAACTAAAGCTCGGATGTTAGGTAACACATAGCGCATTTCCTGTTCCACTGCCGATTCCTCTCTGAATCAGCATTTGTCAACAAGCTTGGATAAACTTGCTGTTACCTGGTCTTGGGCTGGGGAACATTGGATGGGTATGGCCATGAACTGCAGGACATTTACCATTTCCGACTCATGGGCACACAATTCCAACAGCAGCCCCCACTAGCAGTCCCTACAAACCCCAAATACGCTTTAGGAGGACACATCATTCTCATGAAGACTGCTGTGAAGGGATCTTTGAGCATCAGAACGAAATAGCAGGAGGCATGCTTCCTTTAAAAGTTCTCCCTACCTTCAAGTCTCTCAGAAGGCTCTTATTTTATGGCATTTGGGCTCCTAAGAAAGCCGCTTGCACCCTTATGGAGCTAGTTATAAGAGCTTCATGAATGTATTGGGTTGTTGGGAAAGTCATGACTCATTTTTAAAGGTCGTGACTTTTCTGACAGCCCAGTATTTGCTGTGCAAGGCACAAATCAGCCAAGTATCTATTACGGGCCAGATACTGTGCTATTGCCTGGGATTATAAAGTTACTGTACACAGTCCCAACTCCCAAGAGACTTACAGTTCAATTAGAGGTGGATTTAGTATGACAAGTGTTAGGATAGAGGGAAGCCCAGGTGCTAGGGAAGCTTCGTGCAGGAGGCCCCTGCTATAGACCAGGACTTAGTGCTGCAAAGGCAGAGAGGAAGAGGATCCCAGAAGACGTGAGGTTTTCCCGGATTGTTCAAAGACCAAATGAGTAGCCAGGAAGGTGCCCAGCCAGGCTGAGAAAACTACCTTTGCAAAAACTTGAGCAAAGAATCCTCTCTGCAGCAGAAATCTTACATACTTCTTTCAAGTTGAGTCTCCATTATGATTCAAACCCAGGATCTCCTGTTTTACTGCACAGGTAATTTAAGTGAGACAGTTTGTAAAAGTCAAAATAAGCTCGGTCTTCCCAAAGCCCTTGTTGTCTTAAGGTCTGGCTTCACTGGTATAGTCAGCCATCAGACAAGAAATATGACTAACTCTATACTTCTTACAGGAACAGGAAATTGTTTTCAAGAACATTGTGGACTGGCAACAAGTGGGTGTGTCCCTCACTTGGGGACACAGTAGTGAGATTTTAATCAATGTTGTCTGATGGCTGAGGTGGAAGATGACAGCAGGTGAACTATGCTTGGTCCCAAGCTTAGATGAACTTTAGCTTAATTTTGACATCTGAAGTATTGCATCACATACTATCAATACCAGTGCAATAAGAGTCTCACCTTATTAGTTACATTTGCACAGAAAAGAGAAAACCTAGAGAAGTCTTTGGTTTTGATTTTTTTTTTTAATGAACCATCCATGAGAGAGGGAAGAAAGACTTCATTTTGGTCACTATGATTGGCAAGGTGGAAGTGGCCAGGTGGGGAATCTCTACACCTGATAGCCCAAAGGCAACAGCTGCCTAAGGTTATGGGTGATGAGTGTAGGAGCCCTGTTACTGCCTTTCAGGCTGTTAAGGTAGTAATCAAGAAGACCAAGAGTCAGATTAGCTTAGTTTCTCTCTCCCTGGGGAGAGGAGGAGCGAGAAGCCAGCCAGCCCAGTGGTTCCCTCGTCTCTAGACTCCAAGGAACATGTTCGTTTCCCCTTGGCAAGGAGCCTGATGCAGCTGGCAGGCATGCCCTTGTTTTCCTACTTCCACGCCCCTCTGACCTGAACCACTGTCAGGAACCATAATTTTGCAGGTGAGTGTAGGCCCCCATTTAAACCCACCCATTTTTCTAGTTTGTCATTCAGACAGTTTGACCTGTAATTTTACACGGCAAAAACTTTGGTGCATTTTTCTCCCCCCGCCAAAAACCACTCTCAACAAGGAAGCCTGTTTTAGAGGAGAACTTGAAACAAAAAACTCAGGATCGCTCATAAACGGCCGTACCCTACTTCCAACCAGGAAGTCTTAGGAGGCAGGACTAAAGTCAAAACTGCAAGTCCAAAGCATAACATCATAAGAACGAGAAAGGTGGTCTTCAAAGAAAGGATTCACCCACATTGAAGAGGTTGGGTGAACATTTTCCCTTGGCTGATTTCTTTCCTTTCTGTAAACTTTGCTAACTCGAGGAGGGCTTATAAACAGACAGGTGTAGGACACCTCCACCCTCGGGGTACATTCTGTGCCAGCCGCTGCTGGGAGCACAGGACGAGAGGCCCTCGACCCATCGCGGTCCAAGCTCGCAGGTGAGGCACCTGGCCAGGGTCCTCTCCACGTGTGGGGAGAACAGGTACATCCAGCTCTAGGGCCCGACAGGAGGGGGCAGGGCAAAGGGCACCTGGGGACTGAAGCCCCCTGCCGGACTCACCGGCTTGCCCCCATTTCCAGCACATCGTTTCTCATTAGGGACACTCTTCTCTTCATCTCCTACCCTGAAGTCCTGCTCATCTACATGTCTCTCCAAAGCCACGGAATAAAGCGCCTACTGGCCTTCCGCGGCTCAGGTGAGTGCCAGGAGGTGTAGGAGGAAGGGGCCCGCTCACCGCCGCCCCCTTTCCTCTCCTCCCCGGATCGCCAGGCTTCCTCGGGGATGTGTGAATTGGGATGTGTGGGGCTTAAAATGCCCAAAGCGTCCCTTACCTTCCACAGCCATTCTCTCAGAGCTTCCCTAACGCATGCATAATTTTCTTGGCGAGGTACTCCTCCTGCCCCGCGCTCCCCCCTCCTCTCGCTTTCGCCTAAATATTCTGCGCTCATCAGCTCCAGGACCAACCTGCCGCGGTCACGCAGAGCGAGGCAGCCTGCTCGGGCTCGCGCGGGGCGGCCTGGGAAGTGTAGTTCCCTCCCCTCGCTGCCGGCCAGCAGAGCCCCAGTCCTCCGCGGGGTCCGGCTCCCCCGCCACGCTCAGACTGCAGCCGTGGCCCCTGCTGGCCCAGACCCAGCATTCGGCCGTAGGGGTCTCCTGAGCGGCCCTGAGGACCCTGGCAGGTAGTGGGGACTACATCTCCCAAGATGCCGTGCGCTGAGCTTCATCGGGAGCTTAGACTAGGACCGGTGACTGAGACCTTCCCTGTCAGTAGAACGGGCTAGGCACACCAGTCGGAGGCACAGCAGCCGGGTTATGCCATGGGCGGGGGGGCGTCCGGGTGGGTTATGGGTTCCCTTGGGCTTGTCCCTTGGTCTCAGCGGCCTGCACTGCAGCTTGCCTCCTGGGCCACCGCTACCAAGGAGAGCAGACGCCGGCTGCCTGTGGTTCTGCACCTGGGCCTGAGACCGCTGCTCCGAGTGCGGCTGCAATTTATTCTCTTGCGCCCCGGGATGTGTAGGGTTTGTGAGGAATCTCTCCAGGTGACAGCGGTCTTCCCATCCTCCAGGATGTTTCCTGTGGCTAAATACTTAGCATGGGGTCAGAGGCGGGATTGGGATAGTGGTTTAAAAATTCTCAACGGGCATTCCTTAGGGGGTGTTAGGAGCAAAATCTGACAGCTGTCTAACCCCTGAGAACATCAGAATCTGGGTGACTGCCTGGCTTTTGGGATTGAAGGCTTTCACTTACCTGGCTTGGGAACCTGCTGGTGGCTTGTGATAGGCCTAATAATTAAGAGCACCTAGGAATCCATGGCGTTTCATCTTCTAAACGTATACCCTAACGAGGTGCTGGCATACTGTGGGCAAGAAGAGAAAGGGGAATCATGCGGATGGCAGTAGCATTCCAGAGCTGGAAAAGGCTGATAAAATTGAATTCCCAAACCTACTTTTTTTCCTGTGTATGTTGAAATAAAGATAGTTTCAACTGGTGGAGGTAAAGAATGGCCTTAGGAACAAATCTGGCTCGGGACTAGACAGACTTTATAGGCCTTGAGCTTAGTGCACAAGGTGGAGTGAGATGTTAGCGCAACTGTAGAAACACAAGACTTCACCAGGCTAACCCACATGGGAAGGTTCAGGGTTAGACAAGAGACCTCCTGGAATATGCTAAGGCACATTCATACTATAACATGGTAACCCCCAAACCTGAGAAGCCTCGTGGGTGGTGTTTACCTGTTCCAAAGAAGTCACCTCAAAAGTCCAGGAGGTAAAGGCATCAGCTTTGTTGCTTTATGAGAAACACCAAGAGCAGTCAGTGGTGAGCAGTCTGGGCCTAAGCTGTGGTGCAGCAAGCGTTTTATAGAAGTCTGGGCACATGTAGGCATTTAGTCTCCTCCCACCCTTACAGAGTTTTGTAATTAGCTAATTGCATTTGCTCAGCTCAGCTGCCTGCATTCTGTATGTCAGTACTAGGGGTATACATATTCTTCAGAGAGGTAGGTTACAGGAGGAAAAGAGTAGAGGGAAGAGGGAAGCCAGATATGGGGGCAGGGACAGTCCATGTGCAGATGATAATACTTCACACGTGCCCATGAGCCAGCTGTAGCCACGATTGTGGAGTCGAGGCCCTGTTGGGGTATTCTCCCTCTTTCTCTTTAACTCATAGAAGAAATTAATTCTCTTTTTTTTTTTTTTTTTGGAGAGAGGATATTTTTTTTTCTGTAGGGTGCGTGAGCTTGCTAGAGAGATAAAGACAGAAAGTAAGAACTCATGCTCCCCCCACTCCCCGGGATGGGATGGCCACACCACAATCCCATCTCCTCCATGTTCTTCTTGGGACTTTGGGCATGCATGCACATGTGCCCAGTGTGAGTTTTAAGCTGCTGAGTCCAGGACTTGAACTGTGGTCGACTATGTGGGGGTCCAGTGACATAACCATTATGCCGTCTATTGGTCCCTAGTTAATTAATGTAAAAGAAAACAAATGTGTATGGTGTCACAGCTACCCAGCCCTCAGCTGTTCTACCCTCCACCCACCATATATAATTTAAAAAAAAAAAAAACCTGTATAATTCTCAGGAAGTGTATGATGACTACTTAGATTTTTCTTTATCTTGGTAATAAAAAAATTTGTTTTTCAAAACAATTTTGTTCTGAATGTGCACATTGCTTTTCTTGTCAGTAAATGCTTGGTCTTCCTATTGGATCATATGGCTGCATATAGATAATTTGGAAAAACCTGTTCGTAACTCTTAAATGCCCTTGGTGAGTTCAGACGCTGTGTAGAAATGAAATGAAGTCTTCTATCCTAGCTAGAATAGAGAGAGACCTGTTCAGTGAGATACAATTTTCTTGGGAAAAATTATTTCGCAACCTGCTGTACGGCATGCATTCTAAACTCTGGAAAGAACAGAAAACCAGGCTCTTTCCTCTGCCCTTGGGTATATAACATTATCAAAGCAATTAGTTCTCAGATTGAACGAATGAAAAAGAAAACCATAGGCAGGCACTATCAATGTTTTCCAATCTTGGCCATACACCAGCCTTTTATCAAACATTCTGAAGGCCCATGTTAGTTTCACAGAGTCAGTGTTTTTGGAGATTTGGGTAGGGATGCTTAAGTATGAAAAACCCACAGGTGATTCTAATCATCTGTGAGGGTGCAAACCACTGATCTGTTTCAAGATGTCAAAATTCTGGGTAAGAGTAAAATATAAAAGTCACTGAAATCTATTACTAATCCAAAACCTTAATTTTTGTCCCAAAGTCTTTACTATTTTTCTCAACTCATGTGCATTCCAGTGTCAGTATAAATAAGATACAGCGGACATAGTCATTTGAGCCATATGCAATACCAATGTTTGACCGTTTCTTTAACCGACAGAGAAATTTCATGTTGTTCAACCTAATAAAAGACAAGCAGCAGTTAAGCAGAGGTTTTCAATTTGGGCCAGGATATTAGAATCAACTGGGAATTTTAAAAACAAAATTACTTCTCACCAGAATGGCCAGACTAAGAGACAGGAAATACCAATTCCTGGCAAGATTGAGAAGATAAGAGACTCACCCATATATAGCTGGTGGTGTACAAATCGATACAACCACTTTAGAAACCTACTTAACGTTTTAAGCTGAATATATGTTTTTTTCTGTAACCTGGCAACTTGACGCCTAGAGGTATACCAAAGAGAAGGGGGTATGGGAGTTCTCCAAAAGGTATACATGAGAGTCTTCATGGCTGTGTTATTTTAATAACTCCAAAATGGAAAACAACCCAAGTGTTCATCAGCAATAACTTGAAGAAGTAAATTGTAATAAACCACACAATTCTGTATAGCAAGAGACAAGAAACTGTCGTCAGTGAGCAAAATATGACTCAGCACCTATTTTCAGTTACTTTTTAAAATAATTATTTAATTAAATTTATTATTATTAGTTTAAGTTGACCAAATTTGGGGAGGGGATGAGAAAGCAAGCCACCAGGTCCAGGACTTGAAGCATGGTTAACTACATGGGATTCCAGTACCTTCACCACCACATCACCTGCCGGCCCCACAACACTTATTTTTGTACAAAATAAGTATGATTTTTATCATGAAATTAGTATGATTTTTAACATGTTTAAATGGTTAGGACAAAAAAAGAATGTCATTTTGCAACACAAGGGAAGTATAGGAGTAATTACATAATATCCTCAATTTTGCCTCTTAGCCTACAAAGCCTAAAATATTTCCTATCTAACTTTTTGAAGAATAAAATATAAAGCTTGCCTAGCCTTGCTATAGAGTTATGAGAATGAATGAATTACAACTGTTTACAATAACAAGAATGTATTACAAATTACCTTGGAATTTAGTGGCTCGAAATAATACCCATATATTCAATTCTGTGGGTCAGTAGTTTGGGCACAGCCTAGATGGACCTGTGCTTTAGTACCTTCCACAGTCTACAGTCAAGGTGTTGGCAGGGCTTAAGTCAGCTGAATTGAGCTGTGCCACCTTCCAAAGGCCCCACCTTTCACCTAGGGAAGGATCAACTTTCAAGTTTATGGGGTTTCTTGCAGTATTCAGTGCCCTGAGTTGGACTGAGGGCATCAGATCTTTCCTGGCCATGGAGCTTAGTCCACCTTCAGTACTTTACCATAGTAGCCTCTCCTTCATGGCAGCCTTCATCAAAGCATGTAAGCCAAGAAAGCAATCAAGAAGAGTCTGCTAGCAAGATGGAAATCATGACCTTTCCAACCACACCTTGGAAGTGCCATTTCCTCCGTGTTGCCATATTCTATTAGCTAAAAGCAAGTTACTCAAGAGGAGGGAATTACATAAGGCCATAGATACCAGAAAGTGGTGGTCCTGGGGACCACAAAAAGGAGAATATTGAACAAAAACAGCCAGACAAAACCAAGTACATATTGTAGTGATTCCATTGATATAATGTTCAAAAAACAGACAAAATTAATTTATGGAACTAGAAGATAGGATGGTGGTTGTCCTCACTATGGGAGAGGGTAAAAGGGGAAATAGTTAGCCCCTGGAAGGAAGTCCCAAGAGGGTATTGGGGATACTGGGGATATTCCATTTCTTGACCTTCTTGCTGTTTACACAGACATACACTGCTTGTGAACAGGTATTGCACCACATACATATGATTTGTCCAAGCTTAAGTGTATGTTATACTCTAAGGAAAGTTTTAAAGTAATATAGTTTTAGATTTAATTAAATATGATAAATGACCTATTTATCAACTACTTTTAAATTTTTACTCCTTTTGTGTCATCCTTTGCCACAGCAAAGTGGCAGTTCCGTTTCATTTCACCGCTATGTTGAAGATCTACTATGTGCCAGGCATAGGTCTAGTTGAGGGGAATATATGGTAGGCTCTTGTCTCTAGAAACGGCCTTCAAGATTTCTGCCAAGATTTGTGATTTTGTTAAGTTTTAAAGCGCAATTTACATTTAAAA